ACAAACGGTTCGCTGTACGGAACTGCGCAAAACGCATGATTGCACCGGCTACCCTGGTGCGCACTGTTATTTATTTAACCCTTAAGCGATGCTGTATCGCCTCAGTTCGCTGGCAACCCCGAAATTCGTTTCGGCTCTCATTTACACTGCCAACAATATGTGTCAGTAACAAACTGTTACAAAAGTGAGCGATTGTTCAGCCCCTCTCATAGCCGCCCCAATTTTTATTACTCTTACATTAAGTCTCCTAGTCACCGAAGCAACTCATCTTGATTAGGGAGCAGCAGCAGCGTTCGAAACGAAAAGTTGATGCTGAAGTCAAACACTAAGGATATACCGAAACGGTTAAAACCCGGCAAATCTTCAAGAGCAATACTGAACTGGTACTCTTTTCAGTATCGCGATCTTAATGTTAATATTTATGAACTAGTGTGTGTAAGTGTGGAAACACCTAGTGGTCGATGTATACATATTTATAATTATAGACAGCAATCTAAAGATATATAACGTAAATTTAAGAAGGGGGTAATACATAACAAGGTAGTGTGGCGAAAAAGTGCGACTCTAGAAGCCGGAGTTGGGGAGGGGTGTTTTTATACTCCAGTGGTCACAGATCACTAAAACTGCAAGACTTTAACGGCGCAGGGTATCCAGAAGTTGGATCAAGGACCAGGGGTGTTGCATCATAATGATGCAATTTCTTACAAAAAGCCATAAATCATTATGTGGCAACAGGCAGCGAAATGAACGTCAGGATTGCCAGGGCGGTGACCAACAGGTGATGCAGCACTGGTCAAAGCAACTGGAAATACTTCCAGCCGTATAGTCGCGAATCAAGCTATGTGGATTATAACTTGTCCAGACATGAGGAAATTAGTAGAGGACTAAAAGAAGAATAGATTTATTGTAAATTTTCCTTAGCATTTTCCACTAAAAAATGGTACTTTCACAGCATCTCCATTATCAAATTTGATAAGTTTCAGTGCAGCTAACCGATATCGATGAGAAGTTTGAATGGTTCTACGATTGCTTCCATTGCTGCTTCGTCATTCACCGGCAATATGCACGTTTTCCCGTTTGCCCTTAATTTTGCCACAATCGATTCCACAAGTTTTCTGGGTGAAAGCTGATCAGCGGCCACAGCTTCTCCATCTGGTTGTTCGGAATTTGACGAATTTGTGCCGCATTCTTCAACAGACGATGTTGCACAGGTCAAATGATCGTTGCCAATTTGGTTGTTGGTACCGTGTCCCGCCTCACCTGAACTGGATGCCAATCCCGAATGACCAGAAGCAAGCCCACGAAACTGAAATTTTACGCTACAAATTACTTAACATATGAAATAAATATCAAGGTCCGAAACTTACCAGGGAAACTACCACACATTTTGTGGAATGCAGGGCTGCTTTTGAAACCGTAAGAGGTAGGAAAAAGGCCTAGTTTTGCAGAGAGTTGATGAGGAGGCGTAGCAGTTACACATAATATGAGCAAAGAACCATGGTTCCGTTTGTGTTATTATCAATTGAGATACTCGCAACAGCTATTTTATCATAGTTTCGCTCTTTAACTTTGCAGATGACAACTTTTCCATTTGCTTTGACCAATGCTGCATCGCCTGTTGGTCAATTTGTTGGCAATTCTAACGTTTATTTCACCTTCTAAAGGAATAACCGGTTCATTTTTTCTTTCGACAGAGGCACTTGGCAAGGTTTTAGCCGTTTTTTGAGACATATCCTTGAGCATCACCATCTCGTCTCTAGCAGTGCCAATTTTAGACAATAATGAGATGAGCGAGTAGGAACAAACAAAACCACATGAATGAAAAAATTGGCCAACACACGGGCTGCCCGTGCGAAGATGCGTTTTTTGCATAGC